TCTCTCTCTCTCTCTCTCTCTCTCTCTCTCTCTCTCTCTCTCTCTCTCTCTCCCTCTTTCTGCGCGATGCGAGAGGTTTAGATATTAAGCCGTGGTTTAAGGGATTGACTAAAACGGTCGTCTCGCAACGCACGCTTCGGGACGCTTTATGCGCGCGAGCATAACACAGTATAAATACACGTGCGCCGCAACGTTATTTCCCTTCTCCCTAATCCTGTCTAGGTCCCATCGCCGTGTATCATATCATGCCGCCTGTATATTACGGTACATTGCGTATTTTCTTCCTCATACCTGCGTACGTGCGTAGCACGCCATTTTGTTTACCCATTGTATTATAACGAAAATATTTGCCTCGCGAATATAACTAATAAACGAGCTCGCGCAAACGAGAAACGTCAGGTATTACAAAACTGACATTACAATATCGACAATGTGTATTCAAAAACAACAAAAAATGCTCTCTTTCACCTCTCTCTCTCTCTCCTTCCTCCCCTCGCCCTGTCTGTTTGTATCCCTCGCGCGCGTATTCATATTTTATGGAGCGAGCGCGCTCGCAAGTAACGTGTAATCGCTGGGAGACGCCGTGTTATTAATACTTGATGCGAGCTAATTAGCGATTGGACATGCCGTCAGTGTCACGGTTAAACTAAGTTCGTCTTCGCGTGGCGCATACCGAGAATTAGGAGCGCTCCCCGTGCAATTTCGACTGGTATTTTGCTCGCGGCATTTATTCACACTACGGCTATTTGTCTACCCTCGACAGCGTAGAACGGATTCCTGGCTCTCTTGGTAACATCGAATTTCTCTCGTTGATCGTGTTTGTCGTCGCGACGAGAAATGCCACTGCGGTACACAGTGCGGAAAAATGTCACTCCACTGCTAATAAGAGCGATTACTCGGTTTTTTGTTCTTCTTTCAAATAATGGTTATCTTCAACGAAAAATATTTTTCTAGTGATAATCTTGAAATAATTACAAAAAATTTTCGTCATAAAAATAATCATGAAATAGTCATAAAAAATTTGAAGAAGGCTCATTATCATTGTGTATCAAAAGAATCATATAATTATCTTTACAAAAATTATTACAAAATTTCGCCGAAGAAAATACGACTTTATGTAATTTGAATTTTTGTTTTAATTTAATATTTTACATTGAAATATTATACTTACTAAACAGAAAAAAGAACATTTTTGTTTGTTCACATATCTTTATTTTTGATATGTTAACCTTCAAATGAAGTTACATAACATTAAGCGAAGAATTCAAATAAAATTATAACATTATTGAAACTGAAGACTTTGAAATTCTTCTAGCAAAATTATATACCATTGCTTATATATGAATCAACAATTATTGATTTCTATACATCAGTTTTAAATAGGTAATTCTTTTTCTGTGTAGAATTCAAAATATATCTTAAATAAATTGAAAGTTTACGATAAAACTTTGATAAATTTACGAATACTTACAAGCTTGTGACATACTTGAAATAAGTAACATTCACCCCAGTGCAGTGTACATTTTTCTGTATGTATATTTCGCTCTAAATTATGTCTAAATGCCGCCTCCCTTGTTATTTCATTGTAGTCTTCAGTTGGAGATTAAAATAATTGTATTAAAATCACAAACGATAGAATCCATTAATAAAATGCCCGAGTAATGCGATTTTCTCCCTCTTTCTCTCTTTATCTCATTTTAAAACGACATTAACACTGCAGACGTGCGACGCGATAACGAACCGTATATACGACCGCTACTGCCGCATACGTACGAGTCGTTCATTAAAAAGTCCGCTGATTAGACGAAACTCAGAGTGACGCTGAACAAAGGGCATCGCAGGCAACGCGACATCGCCATTATCGTCGCGGTGTTTATTGCAATTACTAAATGAAATCGGCGCGTCGATATTAAGCGCAAACGCACTAAATGCACTCGCCCGGTGTGCATTCTGTCGTCACCGGCTTGGCAGTTGCGCGTAATAATAATTACGAACATGATAACGAGTCGCCCGTGCGCTAACGACGCACTCGCCCCGTTCCTCTCTTTCTCGTTACGCTCCTTTCCCCGTCGGCTCTTTCGTGTCTCCTCTTCATCCACAGCCCCTGTACCCAGCGACAATCTAATAATATGTACTTTTCCGCAAATTTCTTCATTGCTCGTTCGGTCTCGCACGTCGACGCCAGATCGCGGTTTTAATTTTTCCTTTTCCCAATTCCTCGCATCCCCGCGCGAAAATGCTTACGCAGACGGGCTCTGCGCGCGGTATACATAGAAACGCTCTCTCCAGTTAGTCGCTGTCTCTTCCTCCCTCGATGTTCGCGGAATTATTACCAGCTAGAGCGAAAGCCCCGAGCGTTTTCGAATCATTAAAATGTGAACGCGAGAACGGCGGGGTAGTCGTGGACGCCATATTGGGCAGCGCGCGGTTTGAGAGCAAATTATCTTGCTTAATTAATGTCGCGCGGACGAATAATTGGAGAGGGGAAGGCAGGGTGGCCCGTAGCTCGAACCATCATGAATCGATTTCTGCCTCTCCCTCCTATCTACCCCCCGACGGGGTCTCTCTCTCTCTCTCTGTCCCTTTTCCTTCCCGCCGCCGTAATCCCATGGTCCTGCCATGCTCCTCTGTTTCACTCGTTCGGCCCGTGTAATTTCTGCACACGAGGCGTTTGATCTGCGCTTTTGCGGAGGCGGGAAACGATGAAAAAGTGTCGTGACGAGACGGTGCGGCTGCGACCTCTCTCGCCCTCGAGTCCCCCGGGCGAAGCCCGCCGCGCCACATCGCGTCCTTTTGTTGACTAAGCAACGGTGCCGGTTGAACGGCGGATTATATCGGTTTATCGGGCCGGCGCAGTCGCGCACCGTTGAACAGCCTGCTATATACTTTATGAAACCACGCGCCGCTGCCGATTTTCGTTTCGCTCTGTACGTCGAGGACAGAGCCAGCGATTAACTTGACGCGCTTCCGGAATGGACGGGAATACAACGCGCACACGAATAAGTAATAAAGCCGCATTGCCGTTAATCCCGAGACATCCTGCGATAAACTTGGGCTAATTCGCGTCGGCAGCCAATCAGTGAGCGGATATGAGATTTTATTTAACTCCAGCTACTTGAACATTAAAAAAATACTTGGACGTTTATTTGTGAAATATAAAGTTTATTTCTGTAAAATAAATTTTTGTCCTTAATGAATTTTTCTCTCAATAAATCTACAATATCTGAAAATTTATTGGCTATATTTCACATAGAGTTTATATATATTCACAGAAACAAACTTTATATTCCAACAAATAAATTTTCAAATATTATTTCTCAATGAACGATAAGTCTAGACTGAGAAAAAAATACTTGAAAATTTATTTGTGTGAATGGAAAGATTTATTTGTGCGAGATGAATGAGATGAGATGAATGTGTTAATTTTGTAATAAACTTGACGAATCCCACGAATAAATTTTCAAGTATTTTCTTCTCAATGCAATTAATTCCGGCGAGACGCCAAAGGGAGTTTACGATTGATCATTTCCACGGATTTTTCGCAAATAAGCTTTTGCGCACGAAATTTCCCGCGTGTTTGTTACCTTCTAGTGATTACGAATCGCAAACGCGTGGAGATAAGTACGAGTAGTAAGACTCACATTCAATGTTGATCTTGGCGGGCGTGCTGTCGATCGAATAGCCGGTCTCCTTGTGTGTGGCCACGCAGACGAAGTTCCCGCTGTCCAAGATTCGATTGACCCTGGTGATATAGAGATCGCCCTCAACTTGGTGCCTCCGCGGACTGTAAGCGAGCGGCTGTCCGTCTATCTTCCACGAGTATATCACGTATGAGCTCGGCTGAGCCTCGCATCTCAAGCGTACCGGGGATCCTTCGACAACCGTGTGCTCTCCGGGACTCACCGAGAAGAAGAGATCGCCGTCTTGGCCGCGAGCGGGTGCCACTGGAAAAAGAGAACAGAAAGCGTCACCTCGTTAGCGAGCAACAGCCAATTGGTGTTACGTTACGCGAATATTAACAGTCGACTGATGAGCTGCTACGCTGAGAAAAAAAGATTATTTTCAGCGCCAACTACAGCTTCTTGTTACAAGATTATTATAATTAAATTATAGTGACACTTATTACGCGAGAATAGTTTTCCCGATTCTCTACAATTCTTTCATCATACGATTAATAGTTACAAATGCCAAGCACTTTTGTCTCTGTGTGTTCACAGAGAAAATACATATCTTATGTAAATACAACCTTGCTTTAAACTGTGAACCGTAAGCAAATTAATCAACCAAAGTCGATTATTCTCGAAATAGTCGACTGTGATTAATCGCAGTCTTCCAAATTGCGGCGAGAAACAATGAAACTGTTCAATCTTTGCTGGTGTGACCAAAGGTAGAGCCCATCGCTCGCAGAATTTACTTTGGCGCGCTGTCAAACGAAGACTACTCGACTATATTGTCATATTTAACCTAATAAAGGATGGCTCCGAAATACGGCAATAAAGATTTGATCGAATTCGCGCTGTGTCTGTATCCGACCACGTACATGTTCAATCGGACATCAAGCATGAACATGCCAACGACGAGGAACTTTGATCGTCGAATTGTGCAGCAGCGCGTGACTATCAACAACGGCAACGAAAAAAAAAAAAAAGGCACGTGTATCGAACCTCACGAAGTGACTACACAGCAAACCACAAACAGGCGGTTGCGTCGCGATCGAATGGAGCCGCGCTCAAGCGCACAGAGTGGGAGAAACAGCCGCGACGAAAATTCCACGAGCCGGCGTTTCCGGTGCTTGTCCGGAGTGGCGGCCGATAACGCCACCGTCGCCGAAAAAGGGAAATGGAGAGAGAAAAAAGGAGGCCGGTATAAAATGTACAATATGATGTACACGCAGGCACGAGAGATCGTGATTCCCGAGCGCTACGGCCGTTGCGCTGCGTTTGCATACAATGGTAGCACCGGCGTGGATTAAATCCTCTGCACCGGGACGAAAATCGATCGCGCTGTGTTTCTCCGCGCCCCTGCCGGGAACACGCGTCGTGCGTGCATGCATGCGTGCGTGCGTGCGTGCGTGCGTGCGTGCGTGCGTGCGTACTTGGCGCATACACAGCGTGCAAATGCAACGCGCTGACTGCAGCCGCGCGCTGCCGTCGTTGTCGTCGTCTCGCGTATATGTATATACATATACACACACCCACACCCACACACACACACACGACCAGTCATCGATCTCACGCTCACGCAACGTCAACGCGTCTGTAGTACGCGTCTGGGAATAATTAATCCGTCGCGGTCGCGATCGCGGCCAATAGACGAAATATTATATCGCGTTTACTATAATCCGCGCGGCGCGTTCAAATTTCAGATTACGTTGCTGCAATATCCGCGCTGTTTACTCCTCACCCTCGCCCACTCCTCCCCGGGCCCGCGATCGTGCCGACGACTGCTGCATTGTTGGAAATAAACGGCAAATATCGATCGGCGATGCCGGTGGAAGGGCGCGAGATTGTTCAAATAACCGCGATAGTCGGCGATATCCGAAATAGCAATTGAAACAGCAGTATTTTCGTTGGAGCAATATGTTTATTTGTGGTGAGTTTTTTTTATTGCGTTTATTTATCTTTTATTTTTGCCGCCTCTAGCAAATGAAAGATAAATAAACGCGGTGAAATTTCGCGCGACTGATTGGTTCAAGCGCTGTTATATAGCGATTCGCGACTATCGTCCTTGTATCATTTAATTGTGGACGACGGATTCTTACTTATACGGAGAGAATTTTATAATAAATGTAGGATTTTGTAACCGACGAATAGATCGACGTATCGCAGTAATTAAATATCCTTTCATTTTATGTGTGCTACTTATATGTGAGAAACTGAAATGTACTATTAATCCTTAGGCTACGGGGTTAGTTTAATCAACGGTAATTACAGCGTAGAGTCCTGCACTCCATTTTGTTTTTATTAGATAAGAAAATATGATAAAACCTTAAGTAATGTTTAAATGTATATTTGCAATTTCTACTACTTTAACAAAAATTTTTCTCAAGAGATATTGCACAAGAATTACTCTTAAAGGTCTCGCGAGACTCACGTCATAAGATTAAATTTTGCTATGTTTTTAGCGAAATTACTACACGCTCCTTACTACAAATTTACTACACGTTCCTTAACAAGACAGACTTTAAGTGACAGTCTCCTGGATTATTAAACACATAAAAAAAATGAAAAGAATTTATATGAAAGAGAACTATAATATTCTCTTCGTGTAGCTTTGTTCATAAAGTTTACAAGTAATCTTTTTATAAAGGTGATATTAATCATGTGATCTGTAAAATATAAACGCCGTTATTAATAAAAATTTTTTCGCGATGCAAATATGACTGAACCGTAATAAGTTTTTATTTACTCGCACAATCGCGCGAAATATATAACTAAAACACATTGTTATGCAGCGACAATTCATTTGCTCAACATTTTTAACTGAAACAATTTACAAAAACTAAATCATAATTTATTCTTATATGGTAATAAACGGAAGATTTTCATTTCACGAGTCCGTTTAATTCCTTTCCAATTCGCTGGCATCAAAGCCGGAATTACGCTTTTAATTCAACTGATTTAATATATTGATTACAATTTAATTAATTTTATTATTATCAATTTTTAGTTAGATTTACTCCCGGATATTTTACACAGATTTCATTTATTTTATTGTTAACAATATTTATTTAGACTTTAAGAGAAAATCGACTAGTTTATACCGCCAGATTAATTAATAAATTAAAAATTAATACGGAGAATGATAATTATCCCCTCATTAGAAATGAGGCGGTCACAGCTTTCGAATACAACTTGCCGCAAGTTCCTACGGCATTTCTACGCGGAGAAATTGACGAGCGGCGAAATCGTTTGATCAGGACCGAGGCCGCTGACAATGTTGCGCTCCTTTGAGGAGAGCGTGCCTCGAAGAGGTGTGAAGTCGCGTCGCGAACGCACTACAATGTATCCACGCGTGCTTCCGCCGCGCTTCAGACGTAAAAAAAAATTCCAAATTCTTCAAAGGTCAAGGTACATTTAAATAGGAGCGCCCGAACGTCGAGCGTTAAAGCGTTAGCCAATTAACGTATTAAGTCCCAGAAGTATACTTGTAGTTCTTGCGAAAAGTGGCACGTTGATTGGCTACCGCTTTAACGCTCGTTGCTCCCATGTAAAAGCATCTTCATAACTCGGCAAGGAATTGACGTACGTAAATATGAAACAAACGTCATTCTTCTTATTTCGCGCGCTACGCATCTGTAGCGTGTTCTTGTTATGACACGCAAATTACCTCCCATTTCCTTCTAAAATGTTGAATTCGTGAGAAACAAATATTCGATCGCGATTCGTACAGTCTGAGAAAATTTCAAAACAGCGCAAATATCTGCAGATTTTGATTTTGTTGCGCTACACTGAGAGAGAAAATATCTAAGAAATATTGTAGTAAATACTTATTTGGTGGATATACTAATATAAAATATTTTTCAAATAGAAAAATATATAGTTTCTTAGGACCTTAAGAAAACCTTAATTTTTCATGAAAACTATTGTTTTTATTTAAGCAAAAGTACTTAGATTTATTATTATTAGATTAAATATTATTAACTATTAGTAACCGTCAAATAAATACTATTTTTTAGATATGTCTTTCTTTTGTTATACTATTCTATAACTAAAATTTCTCTATATCTCTGGAGAAAAATATGCCCAAAAATATTGATTTTCAACAAAGTTATATGATAGTTAAAATTGTCCAGGTTTGACAAATTCAGATTATGCTGTATGTCCCAAAAAGTATGATTGACACGAAGGATTAATAACTTAGAAAGTTACAACGCATGAATTAATAAATGAAAATAATTACGAGACACGTAATAACATAAAAAATTAAGCAAGTATGAAGTTTCATGCACCTTGGTAGAAAAATTTTACTTGAAGATTGCATCAATTTTCTCACATGTTGCGCGTATTGTTTAAAGAGTTGAATCAATATTACATATTCAACGTAGAAAATTATGGCTTATTTTTTGTTAATGCACAATTACAAGTAGCCAAGAATTGAGCGACGATTTGAATCGGAATTATTCAGCTATAATCTAATGCTGAGCTAGCATTAGCTCTACCAGTATCAATATAAAAAAATCCGGCATATATGCTAATGATCCTGACAGAGGGTCGATCATAAAAAGCAACGCGAGGTCTTGCAAAGAGCGTACGTGCCGAAAAAGCTATTTAAGCTATAATAAGCAGTGATATATTCCAACGATTGGCGCGTAAGTCTATTACGCCCAGTAACTAATATCCTCCTATGTGATCCCGAATGCCGTGTAGTTCAACCGTCACGAGCAAACGCGCTGGGAGCCATAATGCACGGTCGTAAATCTATCAGAGCGGGCCCCCTAGCTCTTTTATTTATCTCCGCACGGACCCTGCCAGTCTCCCTATCTATAATTGTGTATCCAGGTACTTCCTTTGCTCTGACACCGCCGGTCGGCGATCCACGATTTTTAAACTGCTAACTAAGCCGTGGCGGGGGGAAAGCGGGATCGTACACGCAATGTTTGATTAAGGGGGTTTCGCAGGAGTTGCGTTACGACGAGCACACGATTGATAGTTACTGATGTTGCGATTAGATCGATATTGATTATTATCGCGATCGAGGTGTTGTAACTGTGCGCGAATCTGCATAAAGGAGTGTGCATTTCTGCAGCGCGGCTCACGCAACGCCGTGCGCGCGCAACGTCAAAGGAACCATTGATTCCGGAGTGCGTCTCCCGGCGGGAAGTGGCGAGTTGCCACGAGTCCGGCCATGAAAGTCGGAAGAATCCGAGTCGAAATTTTTATTCTCCTTTCGACCTCAATATTTCACTTAACGTCTACTTTAATACTCTAGTCATACATCAACT